CATAGATCAATTCCATTTTTCGTGCTCATTCTCAAAAAAGCTATTTTTTGATACATCTGCGTGCAAAATATGCCGTTGAACTTTCGACAAAAGAAAATGTCGTAGAAATATGCTGAAAGTTATTCGAATGAATTTTTCGTGTTGATTACGTGTATGAGCTTTTCATGCTTATTTGTGATTGCTTAGACCTCTACAATGACGATTTAACGGTGAATTTCCCTACTTTTTGAGGTATTTCCAAACTGTAGCCATGTTCTGCATCTTTTCTTGAATTTTTAAGGTCATATCTGGGATGAGCACGAAAAATGGAATTGATCTATGTATCTAACTCAATGGATTAAGTCTTGGTTGTACTGGAAAGCGGTCACCAAGTGACGAAAAATTTGTGTTTTTCGCCAAGTTTTCACTTTTTAGCGAATTCTTATGCAAAACTCGGTTTTATATATTGTATTTTACATGACATAGATAGAAAAATCATTTTTACACACGACTGAATGTGTTTTCTTCTTCCAAACTTAGTTCCTGAATTGGCTGGCGGTCAAAATCGTAGGACGGGCAAAACAACCACCTGTCAAAAAAAGTTGTTTTTTCATTTCCAAGAAACTTTTTGTACAAAACGAATCTAATATTCGTAATCAGCATGAAATTCTGCATCGAATGATATATAATTCAAATAAATCGAAAAGTAAAACTTTTTCCATGTTTCAAAGAATAGGGGGCAGAAATTTTTCGAAAAAAATGAAAATCGATTTTCGAGAGAAAAAAATACTTCATTTTACTCAGAATTCGATGCTGATTCCGAATATACAATTATTTTTTGAAAATAGTGTGGTCGAAAGAAATGGCCTTATACGCAACTAGTTCTATATTCCACTTATTCATATTTTTATCAGTTAGTGTAGAATCAGAGATATAGAAAGCGAAAAGAAAAGTCGAGTAAATTCATAATATTATTACCGTCCTTCCAAAAAATTTGCTTCGTCGAAATCGTTTAAGTGCCATAGAGATGAAACATGTTCCAAGTAAAATGATGAGCGATAATAATGCTTTGTTTGGTAGTTGTGGAATATTGTAGAAATTTTTCTGATTTAATTTCGTAAAATCTTTTAACGATTCATGCGATAAACAATCGTTACAAGCATATCTTAACGGATTATATAGATTTGTCACATTAGTGGTAAAAAATGATAATGGCGTAGTAGTGGATAATTGGTCTAATGAAGAAGATATCACATCTAGTGTCAAAGTTGTTTTATTGTACAAAAATGATTGTGATTTATTGCAAGAGCAATAAAGTGGATAATTATCGTATTTTCCCAATACGGGATTCTCCTTGAAAATCTATGAATTAAAAATTATTCGTAGAAAAAAAATTGATTTTCAGTATAGTATACACTTACTTTGTGTAATTTTTTAAATGGTTCATACAGATAGACAAGAGCAATAATAAAAGCAAATATTTCCTCAGTAAAACGTGTAACATGTCGAATCATAAAACTTCCTTCAAATGCCACGAGTACAATAATAAAAAATGTTGTCCAAAGGCTTACACAACATCGAACAGTCCAAAAATCACAATTTAATGATTTACAAAGCTTGAATAATAACAAAAAGAACGTCTGACCAGTTGAATTAGGAGTCATCAAATACTCACGTCATAAACCATTTCTTCGAACACTAGAAATGGTCCAGTCGGTCCTAGAATCAGTAGTGGTTGACCACTGAATAGTCCAAATAGTAAACCGTTCAGAGATGATGCCAATAGCATTTCATTCACACCCAATTTATTATTTGTTTTATCAGCTAAAACCGAAAGAGTTTTTGCCTGTTTTCTTAAACATAGTTTAAATAAATTACCGATGATTCCCCCAAACGTCAGCGCCGGAGCTAGACAAGCAATAAGCATGAACACTAAGCTAACTATGCAATGTAATCCAAATGCGTCAAATATATCCGATTTATAGTGTCGATATCGTCGACGCATTTCTCGCCATACACCACCAAATATGTAACCACTTCGAATAAATGGATCATCATCTTGTTTTTCTTTATCACCGCTCAGGTGAGCTAAAGACAAAGAATTTCGTAGTTTGTTCTATGTACCATTTCTGTTTAGAATAAGTTAGTAGTGGCGCGTGAGTATTTTCAGTAGATAAGAATTACCGCAAACTATTCGGAAGCTTTCAGACAGCAATAGCCACCTATTACTATTTATTACCTATTCAAAGTTATCTTTTTGGATTTCCGCTAAAACCTGTTAGACATAATGAAAGTATTGCATATTCCACTACAACATGCTCTACTTCATCTTAAAAAGTCATTAATTAACCTACGATTTTTTGCAGAAAAATGGACAAATATTAAACTAGTAGGTTCCGGCTGCAGATTAGCTAGATCGCACCCGGTCAAAACTTGTAAACCAGAATTGGATTCAGGACTCCGGAAAAAATCATCGTAAAAGACAGCTGTCAGAGCAAGTGTAATGTAAAGATATTTAGTGAAGAGGCAAAATTATGTAGTCTATTTAGTCCACTTGTTGGCGTCGCCACTGCACTAAGAAGCAACTATTATATTTCCTTCTTATTCATTGTATTTATTCATCCATTAAACAGTACTTACAGTGGTCAGACGTTTTGTCAGCAGCATCATTTTGTGAATGACTTCGTGTATAATATTTTTTTGCCTGAATTTTCCTCAATTTAGCCGTTTCAATAACAGGCAATAGTAACTCTTTATCAAAATCACCTGGTGGCAGTACGATCGAATCGGATAAAAAATCATTGATTCCATTTAAAAGATCTCGTCTATCCATGGCTCGATATGCTGTATCTCGGAATTCCTAGAAAATTTTAAAAGAAGTAGAGTCCCTTAATCTTCTGTTTTGCAGACTTACTCGAGTACTAAACAATGTACTGAGAGATCGTCCAATTTCTATATACTCTTCGACAGGACCAATTAAGAGAAACATAAACTTCACTGGTAATGGTACTTCGGTAATTTCATCTATACAATAAAACCGTTCGAACACAAAAATATCATTACATTTTTAGACACTCTTACCCATCATAAATCCTTTGGATAAGCGGACAAAAGCCATAATTGGCCTTGTTAAATTCCTCATACTTCCAATTAACACTTCAACACATTCAGCACTTTCTGGTATTCGTTTCATAAGATCAGACTATAAAAAGACTATTGATTATTAAGATCGCATACACGATTAGATAAGCGTACTTTGTAAGCTGGTTGATCTCTATTTTTTCGATCTAATCTTCCCATATGAGCTTGTGATGGTCGATGTTGTTGGATGGGTAGAGGTGATTGTTGTTGCTCTTGATTAATCTTTTCACTACTGCCATGAAGTTCTTCTTCATCAAGTTTACAATTTTTTATATGGACATTTGTCACAACGGATTCATCAATATTATCATATTTCACAACCGTGCTTTTGAAATTCTTGTTTAATTCGCCATTTGGTTTCAGTTCAAATGAGCTCATTCGACGTGGACCATCGCAATGGATAATATCATTCTACAATCAATTATAGATTGTTAACAGTTCAAATTACTGTCACAAAATATTTACCTTTCTGAATGCTAAACTTGATCGTCGTGCTGATGATTGGGGAAAGTCAATTGCAGATGATCGTCTACGAAATGCTGAAAACGAATGAGATTCTGGATGTTTATGGTCTACTATCAATGCTTTATGTAATTCATCTTTAACATCTTTGTTCAATTGCCCATTTTCAATAGCATCATTAATTATTGAATCATAAATACATTCGATATCTTGTTCTTCAAGATCCAACAATACCGTTCCTATGAACATTAATAAAATGATGAATGATTTGGTGATAACTGAATAAAACTTACCATATTGAAGACCACGCCTTAATTCAAGTAAACTATGAAATGATAGACATCCGACACGTGGTGCTTGCCATTTTTCTAATTCTTTATCATATTCTTCTTCATATCGAATCCACCTAGATAATGATTAAAAAAAAGTAGCAGAGAAGAGTACTGAAGAAGAGATTCATTTACTTTCATAACAAACCTTGCACATTCATGCCAATGATAATCATTGTTTTCATCCAGTCGTAACTCTTGTAATTCAATAAATAATTCCCTTGGTGTATGATCAACAGACTTAACCAAAACGCAAACTATATTATTGATTTTTAATATTTTCATTCTTCTCATATACCTGTCGACCAGTATGCGCCCGTTTATAACTCGCTCGATGTCCAGACAGTGTTCTTCTTTTAGGTGGAAGACCACCAGGTGGCAATAGAGAACTTGCATTTGATGATGTATTCGGTAATATCGGTGAGCCAGGACATGAATTTGGTGATGAAATTTCTAATAAATAAAAAAAAGATAGTAGAATACGAAAAGAATAACGTATGAAACTGTACCTAAGATGAATTAAATAGACTTTAAACAAATGTATGAGGCATACCTTTTAAACTTATGTTATCCATGTTAATAGGAAATGAAAATTTCGTTTTCGTTTTTTCCTGTTTCGTTCGATTGCCTTCGGACGATAGAAGTTCCTCATCTGTGGAAACGACGATAAGCGGCACACTGTTACAACTAAAATCAGAACAATAACAACAACGATGGTGTTCATATGCAATACTTGAGAAAAAGAGATCGATTCGACGCAAACATCCGGATGAGAAATGTATTAGTATAAAAGTTTCGTTTATATACTCCTCTTTTTCATTTAAAGAAAGAAGAACATTTTTGTTATCATCGTTCGCAAGAGTATGAGCTTCATTGTCAATACATGTTATATATATATATATATATATATATATATACAGAGAGAGATAGAGAGAAGTTTCACGAATCTATCATTTTTATTTTTTTCAACATCCGTTAGTACTTGTACGGATTTGATCTAGTTTTAGATTATAAACGCATCAACAAAAAAAGACTAATAATATGTGTTGTGTATATGTTTTTAAATCAATTTTGTCGTATTCTTCTGTCCGAGATCAAGTGGTTTAAATACATTAAGTTCAGAATAAGAAAAGAGTCTTTGAATAATAGCAACCACATGTACAATTCTCATTTGATTCAAACAAAACTTGTTTTTTTTTCCCATTTCAGTCCATAAGATTATCTAAGCTGATATTAATTATTAGCATCTTGGAACAACGAAAGCACAAAAAAAACCTTCTCAGCTATTGTTTGTATATTATATTCTATCGTCGAATGTGAGAGAAAAATTGTCTCCTTATTCTACACTGTTAATTGTTTATTGGCAGAAATGTTAACCGCTCTTGTGAAAAATTTTAAAAATTTTCGTTGTTTTGGCCGCTTATGCTTCAATTAACATCTCTATTTAGTAATGATAATCCAATAACTTATGAAGAAAACATGCTCAAAAAAAAAATCTTTACACAGTTAGTTATAAAAGGAAAAAACAAGGAAAAATTATCAAAAATATCAATATCATACTCTTGATCAGCTCTAACAATCATAAGATACCTCTTTTTTCTATCACCCGTGTTTCACTACCACAATCTAACACAAAGAACTACAGAAAGAAACCTTATTTCTATTGATAATCATAGAATCCCAAATGAGTAACAAAAATTAATGCTTATAGAACAGTAAGAAAGTAGTGAATGAAAGCTCGACTTAATGATGCTACTGAACTTGAGACGACTTATCTATCTAGTATATTGATCATGTGTAGTTCGTTCTATGCGTATTCTAAATATGATTTGGCATGCAATCGATGGAGAAATAGAGAGTCGATTATATAGATTAACTTGTGGTAACAAAAAATAAATAAAAATGAAATGAAATTACATGAGTTAATCGTGTCTGGCACATGCTTTTTTATGATTTATGAAAAATATATATATATTGATATAGATACATTAGCAATAAATCAAACACAATTCTTTTCTAGCAATAGATCTACAAGGGCAAGAGAATAAGGGAGAAAAAGGGGAAAAAAGAGATTCTTTTTCATCCTTTTTTATGTTCTTACAAGGGAAAATAAAAAACAAAGTGAATCCGTTAACAAACCAATTGATTTTGTTAGAAATATTAGAAAAGAAGTTGTCGTCAATCTAATTACAATATTATCATGATCAAAGTTTGTGAGCAGAGAGAAAAAAGAAAAATATTTAGTATGAAATACTAAATACTCAATATGTGAGTCAACTGTATGACATGCATATGTTAAATATTTGCTTTTATTGTCAAATAGACTGACTAATAGAGAACTTATTGCTATCAGATTAAAAGAGATAAAGAATCTGTTCTTAAACAAAAATTGTTTGTAACAATATTTCATCTATAATGATAAGTATATAAATCAGAAATGGTCTCTTTTTTTAAATTTCGATTCTCTTAGTCATCAGAAGAATATTGTTCAGAATAACGGGTGGTGTTGCATGCAAAAACTGAGCAAGTTCTACATCAGCTTCTAAAATGTTGAGACATCTCAAAACCATTATTTCTGCACTAAACTTGTAGCATATACAAATATACAAAATAAAAACTAATTTATTGGCAGCTAAACGAATTTTAACTTGCTTACAGTCTTTCATATATCAGTACGGTCTTTGTTTTCATATAAATCATATAAAATTGAAAAACAATGAATTTTGTGTCTGAGGATGTTTGCTGTATTCTATTGTCTCACATGAGAATAAAACAAATATTCTATAAAGACACTGTTGTAAAATGTCATATGAATTATCGGTGCACTGAATAACTGACATGTATATTCTACAAAATTATCCTCTTCGCTGGATCTGAAAAATCATGATAGCTTTGAACTTCAAGATTTACGTACTTATAGCTCTTATTAATAGTGATCACTCAACAAGTTTCAATTTCATTGATGGGATGGTTCATGCGATATTAGTATACCATTTTTTTAATAAAATGCTCATAATTGCTGATCCAAGAGAAGCAGACACACTATTTAACAATATATGCTAGCGGAAATCCATTAGAAATGAGTAGACAGACATTCATGTAGTATAAGTACGAAAACGAGCTAGAAAAACAAAGAGTTATTTTTTTTTGCATCAAGTGTACATCATAATTACGCTAAAACGTAGATCTATGATTGATCCAAGGAGTAGGTAAAATTTAGCCAGTGAAGTCAGGTCCATTTGGGTACTCTTGTGTTATATTTTCTGTTAGTAGTAAAAAGGGCTGCGATTTGATGAAGAAATGAATTTCTTCAGATTTACAAACTCACAGCAGAATAAACAATTCAAAGCGTTGTAGTCATTTCTATACCGAATAACAGCACTACTAGACCTTTAAACTTTGTGTAAATAAGTTTTAGATTTTGCAGAGTATTTAGTAAAAGTACAACATAAAAAACAATAACACTGGTACGCGAGAAGGCTTATGAAAGTTTTTTGAAAAAGGATTTCAGATTTCAAAAGTTATTGATCATTACACAATATCTGAAGTTCAATAACGATTAACGTTCAACCCATCATATTAATGCTAAAAATAGGAGAGAGCTACAGCGACATTTTGAGAAAAAATAAAATGTCTACTTTTCTTGGATCAGGAATTACAGACTAAGTATTTTACAAAAAAAAAATGAAATACCCATATTTCATAAATCAAATAAGCTTGATTAACATGTAATTCTTAAAGGTCAAATTCATTTCATAATCAGCAAAAATAAAGTCATGTTACCTATGTATGTTCCCAAACTTGACTAAGAACTATTTTTTTTTAAATTGAGTAAAAACAGATGGAAAGAGACAATTCCCGGTCGTTAGGTAAACGTAACGTAATTCAAATATTAATTACTGGTTACACACATCTATAATTGACGATTTTTTTTTGAAATTATAACTATAACTGCTATCATTCAGAAAACTAGGATTTTTCCACTTCTATAGAGAAATCTACAGACGACATAAGGCGTATAATTTTTGTGTATTTCCTTGAACATAAGTTTTCTACAAGAAAAAATAAACTCCCAGGAAATTGTCTGATTTTCCACTGAATTTATTCGACATTAAAAAGAAAGAAAGAAAAACCGGACGAATGATGAATTTTATGTGGAACAACATGAATAAAAATGATTACACAATTAGTACCATATTTCAATAATCAATTCAAACCATAATTTCTACGGTAGATATCTATTATAAATCATCATAATCGATTGTCTCGATCGTCTGATTATCGCATATAAGAAAATTGAAAAACCTACCATCTGAAACTAACCAACTTGAATATTATTTTATATTATTTTGTTTTCTCTGTTGTTGTTTTTTGTACAATGAATATCATAAGAAAAAAAAAATTTTTTTTATATAAAGAATTGTTTAGATTTATTTTATATTTCTTCTTCTTTTAGTTTTTCTTCTTCTTCTCTTCTCTCTATTTCCTCTCTTTTCTTTTTCTTGACATTTCTAATTATATATCTCCTATATAACGATAGAATATGTTTTACTTTTTTGTCTCATTTCTATATTTGATTATTTTCTCTATTAAAGATGAAATTATCTTACAAGTTCATTTTACCGGAACGAAAATACATACATTATTTATTTGATTTTTAAATGCATCTTTCTCTTTTATTGTCTTAGATTCTTTTAAAATAAAGTGTTTTGAGATATTAAAACTTATTAAGCAATAGTCATGAAAGTTAATAAAAAATAAAAAATAAAAATTTAAACATCCATTAATAGTAACACTATAATGTTGATATTGCTTCAGGGGGAAAGATGACTATATTTTTTTTTTATACAAGTATAGTGTAAAAACATCTTTTGATTCTATTCATCTGTTGTGTATGTATGTCATATATTATTTTCTGTTGTTTCTATGGTATATTAGCAAAAAAAAAAAAAAAAAAAAAAAACCAAAACAAAAAAAAATACTTACTGATATTTCTCTCATCAACTATAGAGACACAGACTATTTATCTTCTTTTTTTAATAATTTTTTTATTATTTATTACAATTGAATGCTTGTTTTTCTTCAAGAATATAAAACAATCATATTCATCATGAATATATAGTATATAAATATATATGTAGAAAGAGAGATAAAGATAGAGATAATGCACGCGATATAATATAAATTTATAAATAATCTGATCGGTACTACTTACTTGTTTATTGTTGATAATACTTCAAGACTTTCTTCCGTTGTTGTATCATTTGTTTCAACGGATATGTGTCGAGAACGATCTGAACTATCTTCCCGTTCTTCTAAAATTAAGTAATAAACATATTTTATTGAGTGAAAAGCCTTCTTAAAAACTGTTAAATGCTTAGTTATTTTAATGAAGGACAACATAGATTTTGAAAATTATCAAAAAACATAAAAATAAAATCAAAGAAGCAAGTGACAATTTGAAACAAAAAATTTATTTGTTATTGAACTTGAATAGATGGTTAGCATCTATTTGAAAGAGAAAAAAAAAGAAATTATTGAGGTAAAAAGTGGGTAAACTGGATTTTTCATTGTAGAATAATGCTGAATTCTTAATCATATCGTTCTGTCATAATTATTCGATATAAAAAACAGAAGATGTTAAATAACTAACTCGTTTAAAAAAATTAAAAAGGAAAGATGATGTAAACACGATTAGGAGAAGAATCATCAATCCGTTTCCGAACAAATAATAGTGCTGTCAAAATATTGCATAATAGAGACAAATCATTTTACGTTTATCGTCTTTCTTTAATATCAGTTTAGCATAATTTATAAAAATTTATAAAATAAAAAAAGATAAAACAAACATTTGACACTGAATATCAATTCAGTTCTGTTAATCTGTTTGTTATTATATTACGTATTTACATACCATATTTAGAAATTAGTCGTTTCCAACAGGTCATTATTTAACATCAAAATCTAATTAAAACTGAATAAAAAGAAGATATTATAATAAAAATATCTTTCTACTTTTTTGATTTATAAATTATTCGTATCTGTATTTAATATTGGTAATATTCTTATACTAAAAAGTTTTCCTATCCTTTTTTCAATAATCAATTGGTATATAAACATATGCTTTCGACTGATACGCTGGCCAATATTATCTTATGATAGTACAACATCGAAAACAAGTCGGCTTCACTTGTATAAGCATATAATTTTTATATAAATATATTTGTTGCGTAAATAGTAAATAATCAAAATACAGCAAGCCTATAACACATAGAGATATATCTACCTAGCATTTGTGATAAACCATAATTATACACACATAAATATTTTGATCTCATCATACTAGATGTTGCCGATTTATAGAAAAAAAGTATGGAAAAATAATTCTATGATGTTGTATATTATAACTAAATTTTTATTCTAGTCAACTATTATGAAATGTCAAAATAATCTCAAAATTCATGTGAAAAAAATCAAGCATATGCACTGGTCTAATTATTTATTAATCTCTATTTTTCATTGATCCAGTAAATATATTTTACTATTTGTGTGTGCGTGTGTCACAGCAATATCCTGAAGCCATCGTACTCTCTGAAATTGAAAGATAACCACCACTATTTGCCCCCTTTCCTTTCCCATTACGTCTTTTCATTATCAAGATTATGGATTCAAATATCGTACTCTCTGTCGAATGGATAAATATCCTTTGGCATCTCAGAGAGAAAAAAAATTGACAATAAAAATCAAAGCATGAGTGGAATCATATTTCTACAATCGTTTCCTTTGAGGAATGATTACAGTGTTTCCTGGTAAATCATGACTTTGTTACATATTTTTATTTATGTATACAATGTAAAAACCCAATCAATTTTGAAGAGAAAAAAAATCTCTATTTCGTACAAATTTGTATCAATCGATTGTTATTTGAAGAAATGACGTGCCGTCATTATATGATAGATCAAACATTTGAGATGCACACATATTTATTTTTAAAAATTCTACCGTCATTTTTTCTAGTCTAAATCGAGCATGTATCATGATATTACTTTAATAGCCAATTTTAACTCTTCATAATGATATTTAAACTGTTTGTCTCATTATACCAACAACGTATACGGAGTCAAAGAAATATCGCTTCTGAAGTGTGTAATTAGTGACGTCATTATTGTGAGACTTAGGATGACGCACTTGTTTAGAATATCTGAGAAATTCGAAATATACTGAAATTATATTGACAGTCGATCTCACTCGTTTTTGAATGCAAAGTCTTTGTCATATTACTATTATTGTTGACATTAGTATAATTATTCTTATCATTCTCTTTTTAACAGTAGCAGTTGTATTAGTCATTAAACGACATTTGAGGCAGAAGATTGAAGGTCGTTTGGTTATTCTAATGTCTAATTTCAATAATTAACTTAAATCATTTCTCTCTTTTCCATTTAATCGAGAGGAGAAAAATAATATATTGTCGATAAGAGGGATCTTTTTCTTAGATATTCTGCTAATAGCATTCGATTCTACACTATACTTTTGAATAAAATTATATAAAAAAAAAGGATGTAAATGTACATGTGATTTCTTTCTCTCTATACAATATTTTGCAAATATTGTTTATATTTTTGATAGAAAAATATTACTTTAACGATTAAAATATTCTATCTTGAAAAACAATAATGTTATTATTAACTCTTAGTCTATCGTTTTAAAAGAAATTACATATATCTGAAGTCATTGTAATACTTCTCTTGTGAAAGAACTAGTGAAAATGTTCATAACTGGTAAGAAAAACCAATTCATTAATTTAAAATATTTTTTATTTATTGTATTTTATATATTTTAATGAATAAATAATGAATTTTTCTTTTAATTATTTAAAATTTAAAATTGCTATTTTAATAAAAAATCTTAGTCAACGTGATGTATACCATATAATTTAATATATCACTATGTTAATTTACCTTCAGTGATAAAATCTTCAAATACGTCATTATCTCCAAAAAATCTACTAAATATCGTTGATTTAAAGTGATGATGATAATGTTTCATTTGCATTTTTCCATCAAAATAAGATGTAAAATAGAACGTGTGTAATAACAACAACAGAAATATTTTTTTAAAAAGAAAAAGGATGTATATGAAAGATATGTGGTAAGACTGAAATGGTAAATAGTAAATGGAATTATATGGAGGAAGTACTTTTTTTTTTTGTTTGATTTTGTAAGAAGATTTTCTTTAATATTTCACTGTGTGTTATTTTTTGAACAATAAAACACGTTTAGTCATGTATGGACAAAAAATATTTTACAATAATCTGCTTTTTATGTTTGGATTAAGTCAATCATATTTAATATATTTATTTTTTTTGTTAAAATAATTACTTTTTTGGACGACTCTATAGATGTCTACTAATGCATAAGAGATAGGCTCATACAAATATTATGTTGGAATGCTTCCTTTCTATTCTTTTATAATGCACGACATATTAACGAAAAAAGCATTTAGTTATTACTTTAGATATAACTTCTCAAACATGAAATCCGGTATAAATCTTTAGCTTTTAAAAAATGAAATAAATAATGGAAAACTGTGTTAATGATGATGTTTTTCTGCTTTACGACTTAATAGTGTATCTATCTCATAATCAGAAAAAGTTGATATGGTCAAATTCATACCTTGCAGGCACTAATTTAAAAAGCATCATATTTAATCCCTCTAAGCAACAAATATAATAATAATAAGACAATTTCTTCAAGTAACTCAAGTAGAAGTGCAATGATATATTATCCTAAACCAATGTTAAAATACAAAATATTTTTCAATTAATTGATAAATCATAAAATCGTTAAAGAATGATAAATTATATTTATTACAACAAAGAATAGTCAACATACACATTGGATATTGTTTTAGTTTAAGTAATTATCTAAAACAAAAAAAAATATTTTTTCACATGTAATTGTTTCGATGATCAAAATCAATCGCTTTTATTATCCATAAATTAGTTTATATCAATCCATTTGAATGTTATGGTTTCAAACAAAGAGAAAATTTCATGAGGTTAATTATATCTTCTAATATTTTGCACACTCGGCTTATAACGAGATACTCTGTAAATCACAAAACTATAAGATAGATTAGATTATCGAGCTTTGTTATTACAAAAAATTTACGTTAGTTTAGAATGATATAGTGGAACTTGCCCTAAGAGTCTGGAGAATTGACGAATCAAAGTTTATATCGTTCAGCTTTATTATCAACTAATTTAATGCATTATATTATTACGATGAGTTTCATATTTTCGCCCCCAGCAGTTGCTTTTATAAGATTATTTGTTAGAGACACTATTTGAAAACAATAACAGCATGTATAACATGAAAACATGTATATTATTATCAACAAATATTTCAAGTTTTCTCATTCAAAAACACAATGAATCGGCACTGAATATTTTGATTTATTGGTTTCAAAACTAAGTGAACTCTTTTTTTTGCAAAAAGAAAAGGGATTCCAGTTCCATCTCTATATTCAATTATCAGACATTTGGTAAAAATAATATTACTAAAAATAAAGACTATGTTTTCTCACCAACAGATGAACGTCAAACAGCGGCTTGTCCGCAAATAACGCGACGGCACATTCTCAACGCTCATGTTTATTTTCTCCAGTAGGGCTGATTTTCACAATTATGGTTTTTGGAAAAACTGATGATTTTTTTGGTAAAGATCATTAGATATTTAGACTGGTCTCCAAAAGTGAAGAAAACAAACCGACAATCATAGCGAAAGATGAGAGTGAGTCCCTCCCTGATATTCGCCACCATGAAAGAAAACGGGAAGTGAGCTGAAGATCTGAACATCTATGTGTCTGTACATCTAGATGTCTGAAGAACTGAAGATCTTAACATTTTCTCTAAATGTAGCCAATATTAATATGAATGTCCAATAGAGAATTTCTATCTATAGTATAGAGCTTTTAAAATTTGGGATCGAAATTTTGATCAGAGTTACGGTAATGCGATGACTATTTTGGTAACATGGTAAAATATAGGCTTCAGTTCTTAAAATCTAATGAGATACCGGTACTGTCTTGCAGTTCAACTAGTTATTGAAAATAGAACCATTTCTTCAGTTGTTTTATGTTAAAATTAACTTACAACTATTGGTGTCAACAATAATATTAACGCTTCTTTGCCTATAGATTTGCTCAATAACCATCAAAAAGGCGTGAGTATGTGCAGATATGTTGGGTTGCCACATTGTTCTCTCTAACTTAATTTATGAATATCCTGTAGTTTAGTATTGTATATGAGCAACATTGTTCTATTCTAAATTTGTTTACACACTCTCGTTTTTTGTAATATTTTCTTAAAAGACCATAGTTTTTGAAAAAAGTAGTTTTAGTGTAAGAAGGTGAGTCTCTGGAGCTGATTTTCCGTCATTTCTTCACAAGCGTTTATACAACGAAATTTTTCTACAGCAGTAATGGTGATTTAGTTACAGAATGGTCTGATGAGTATAGTCGGTGCAAAACATCATGCGATGTTTGTGCACAGTAGAGATTGTCTCTGCTTCTCTGCATTTTAGGAAAGTCGAGAGTAATGAAGAACAGAAACAAGAAGAAGAGTCAAGCAACAATGAACACGGTTTAATGTGTTGTTAGAGGATGACGACGACGATGAACCACAAAATCATCGGAAAAACTTGTGCTCGATTATGAGTCCTTCAAATTAAAACTGTCAATGAAAATGAATTCAATTTTATTACTCATCGGCGTTGAGGTATCTGTCAATGAGCTCGATTTAAATTCACCACCAATTACAAATAAAAGTTATAATGCAAAATACAGTTATTACAAGTGAGAATTCTGTTTGGCAATCAGGATACACCGATCACCATTGTCTGTCAACAAGAAACTATGACTTTACTCGCTAATTGTTAATGTATTAGAAACCCTGTTAGTATTCTGTCGATTGCATTATTTCTTATTCTCATTTATACAAACTGTCAAGAACATTCCAGCAGTAGAAAATCATCGTTATCATCACAAATAATATCTAACACTGTCATTATCATTACCATCATTATCACTGGATAAAAAAATATTATTCAAAAGTAGAAAAAGTTTCGTGAATCAGCATAAAATTCAAACGCTGTTACAGTAGTTAGAATACGTAAGATGAACTTGAAGATGAAAGTTTCGACTTTGGTTCATTTGCTAATAATTTCGTTATTGATATGAAATGGCGGTGTATAAATTACAACGAGGTATATTGTGAGGCTTTTATCCCTTCTTTTGACTAGACAACAGAATGTAACGAAGAGCATGTATCTCTTTCATGTATTTTGAAAACAAAGATCAACAATAGCAAGAAAAGTCATTTGAATCATTGATGTCAGTTGTTGGTGAACTGGTTACCACAGGAGGAGAAGGAGAGAGTAAGATACACAGTCGCATTTTTGGCTTAGGCAGGTGGACATTTGGCTTTTTTGGTCAAAAATGGGCTTTTTTTATAAAAACCACTTTTGACCATCCCAGCTCAATTTTTTCTCAGATCAAAACTCATTTTATAAAACATTTAATGCAGATTGATGTGTTGATTTCAAATATCGCCGTGGTCTCTCGTAAAAGTGTTCCGTGTCGAAGCAACCTAGATTTTGGAAACCGAACGAATAGCCTAAAGAGTTTAGATTCAGAATCTACAGGGTGTCCCAAAAGTCCGGCGAGAAAAGTTTTTTTAATAACTCCGTCATTTCTTAGCCAAACTTCAAGATTGTGCTTTTGTTTGATAGAAAAACGTTCCAAGTTTTATTTCGTACGATTGGAAACTCTTGTTAATATTTGAAAACATGTATGGGTTTATTATAGTGAAATTCAGATATTTTGGGATTCGTTTTTAATAAATTATGTGCTGCAAAACTTTTTGAAAAGAACATAAATAGTATCTAATATTAAAATAAAGTACATGATGACGGCTTTCACATAATGAAATAAGAATTTGCTTTTGTTTAAAAATGATCGGTTGGTGTGGATTTCTTTAGCCATTGTTATTCCATACTAGCATCTGGAAAAGTGCAAAAAAGTAATAAAAGCATTTTTCAGATAAAGTTAACTAATGAAAGGAAAAACTACTAGTGGAATTCTATAGAAAGAAGGTAGCCTTATAAACTGGAATAGTTTGAAAGTCTGTAAAAGGTTGTATCAGGCTATTGCAGAAGTCGCAATCCCTAGATCATGCTAATATGGAGAAATAAACTTCTTGTGGCAAAATTTTAAGCTGGACAAAATATTTGAATGTGTGGGATTGTAGAGCAACCTGAGTTCTACGAAATGAGACGTAATGCGACTCTGACAAAGATTCCATTTAATTATGACAAACTCAACAATCTTTACGCACTATTACAAGTACTTGAACAGAAAACATATGTTGTAAGTTTTATTATTTTTCCGTACTGATCCTTTTTTACACAAAAATTTCCAATCGTATGAAATAAAACTTGGAACGTTTCTCTATCAAACAAAAAGACGATCTTGAAGTTTGATTAAGAAATGGCAGAATTATTAAGATTTTTTTCCCCGTCGGACCTTTGGGACACCCTGTATATTGCTTTTATTTATAACTTTGTCTTTGTTAATAAAAAAATAATTTGTATCACGTCCATCTGTCTTCATACTATTATTTCGCTTAGTATTTTCCGACCACCCTTATCAATTAGAACAAAACGTTTTATGGCAATAAATAGCCCATATATCTGAATTGATTGGAATTCTATATATCTCTTAATTCATTTGGAAAAAGCTCACTTTCAATTTTTTGCCAAAAGTCCGCCCGAATGCTCACTGCGCAACAATGAACAAAACACATATTACTACGAATGATTTCATTATCTGATATGAAAACATGTCACCGTCATCAGTGTGATGATCATGTAAAGAAAAACTAATTGATGATCATATCAGAACAATCATTATATGAAGAAGACGACAATGCTGAAAATGTATGCTTGTGTTAATGCGAATACACAAAATTATATTTTCATATTTCAATGATAGATTCATCAGATTCAGTCCCGATTCGTCGACACTCACTCTCACACCGCCCCTCCCGCCTTTGAAATTCTTTGATGTATATTCTTTGAAGTGTCCGATTTGTCGACGAATCGGGACGATACCATTCATCATTTTCATCAGCGGATTAAAAAAAAACTAATTTTATAGTAGGTATGCATCGATTAATAATCGATGTTAGGGTATTCGAGAAAATCGTTCTAAATCGATGATAAAATATCTCTTAGAGCTGTCAAATGTCTCTTTTTGTAGAGAAATATTTGCTCCACAAAACTGAAGCGTTAGAAAATTTTTATAATTGATTCGGAAAACAATTTTTCCGAATACCCTAACATCGATTATTAATCGATGCATATCTAGTTTATAGTCAAAATCGTTCAAAAATGTCATTATTACTTTAGAAGGAAACTTTTATTTAACTCTCTTTAATTAATACCATAAAACTTTGAAAAACACATACGTTTTATTTTTTAAAAATCAATTAATCGTCGTTGTAGTTTTTTATTGTACAATGATGGATAGTGTGTTTGAATATATTGATCCAAATTATGATTATTATATATGTCTTTCTCTCCATTAAATGGTAATTCATCTTGATATAATGATGATGGTAATGCGGATAATTTTTCACTAGTTACACCATTATTTTTCATTAATTCATCGATCATATCATACCATGAATAATGACTACGGTTTATATCAAGTAACGGACTACATTTACTCGTTTGTAACCAACATGATATTAATAAAAAGACAAAGACAATATAAAGACGATTAAAATGTAACATTGTTATCTTTAATATGAACGATAGCTTGATTGAGGGTGATAAGCAATGATTTCTTTTTTATCTAAATGACGGTTGAGATTTATTCTAGAAAACTGAGAAAAAAAGTTAAGATGTAAAACTGCAGAGTTGATAAACGGTAAAAACAAAAGATGGAAAAATAAAAAGAGGCAATTGCTTCTTATAGATAGAGATCAAATTCTACTGAGAATTGTCAATTGAACACAATATGTCATCATTTTTCATTTTCATCTTTGTATAACTAAATTAATAATTTTGCGTAAATACAATAGACTGTTTCAAATAGCGTGCACACAATAAAATTAATTGATTATCATGGGGTGTTGAGTTTTTAGACCATTCACCTGAAACATGATAGTAATTAAAATTCAACGATGAGAAGGATGGGGGCTCAGAAGGTAAATTGGCCCACTAAGATTTTATGGCATCCAATGGTTCAGTTTTCCAGAAAATGATTGCTTAGTTCATAACTGGAAATTCTCGAGTGAGATTAGGATAGAAGAAAAGGAACGCAAAGTACAAAACAACACACTGCATAGTTGTTGGAGTCGAACACTAAACTTATGAATTTTAAAGTATAAATTTTATTTTTGGATTAAATTATTCAAAGTAAACTTGATGTGTTCGATTCTTCATCAGCTTAAAAGGTTGATACTACAAATATAAAATACTGACACATCACGTACATTTCATGCAACAGTCAGTCCATCGCGCTTAGTAATTTGACTATAATTTTTTTTTCTATCAAAGTCCTATAACTCCCAATATCAGAGTTAAATAGACAAATAAAAATTGTTAAAAAGTGATTTGATTGATATCTAGTATATTAATTATAGCCAATTTACAGGGTCTTTTCTTACTGTCCTCTCCTTTCTGAATGAGTAGTGAGTAGGGATCAGTATTTCCAATTTTTTGACACAATAGAGATAAGATAGTATGGATTTGTAACGGCTATTTTCTAGACTTGGTCCAAACCCATGGAGACAAAATTATGCACAGAATTGTAGTCCTGAGTGAACCATCACCTGTAAATAATTGTTATCTAATTATTAACGAAAAATGATGTATTTGTGATATCAGACGATGTACCATTATGAATTTTAACATATAAATACTCAGAAAAAAGGGAAGTAAAAATACCCTTTGCAGGTATTCATAATAAAATTAGTTTTATATAGGGATGCATCAAATTCAAAGTCATCAAGCTTTTACATTAATTTTAGTTGTATTAAAAGTTTAAATTTGGTGAATTCCAAGTTTTATATATTTGTTCAAGCTTATTTTTTGCCATTTTTAGAATTCAGAAATAATTCAAGTATCGTCACAACTCTCATATCTTATAAAAGAGATGAATTCAAGCAAGAATATGAATAATATCAACGAAATGACTTTAATAAATTTATCATTCTAATCTATAATATACGCTGATCAGTATAGGTACTGACGTGACTGGTGATTTTCACCTCACATTACTTGTACAATTGAACAGTTTTTATTGTTAATAACAAAATCGAAATAAAATTTATATACTGTTTAAAAGTAAACATATTTATTCTGTTACATCTTCCGACGACGTTGCGTTATGTTTCTTTATTTTACTATCGATGACAATTGTGACTGGTCCATCATTAGCTGAAAAAATAAATGACAAAGTTCATGATAATAAATAAAAACAAATTGATGTCTGTTCTACTTACCAATATTTACAAGCATTTTTGCCCCAAATATGCCATCAAAAATTTTGTCTTGTGCATAATCATGTTTCAATTTCTCTAATAATTGATTATAAAATAGACGAGATTTTTCGGCTGGCATTGAATAGTGAAAATCGGGTTTATTTCCCTTCAATGTAGCATGCAGTGTGAATTGACTAATACATAAAATACTAAGATTAAGATCTTGAACACTTTTTGACCATCTTTGATCACTAGCCTCGTCTGCATTTGACCACAAACGAATATTTAATATTTTACGACTAATATATTCAATATCTTGTTCAGTATCATCTAAACCAATACCAATTAGAACACATAGGCCACGATTAATTAAACTGACAACATCATCGCCTACTTGAACAGAAGCTGATAGTACACGTTGTATAACGGCACGCATGATATCAAAACACGCACCTAAAAAATACTATACGAGTTGAATAATGGGTAATAGTAAAACATGAAGACACTCACAGACACCTACAGACAACAAACAGATATCCACATATAGCCACTGACAGCTACACAGACAGCATAGAGACACGTACTTCTACGGACATGAGTGTGGAGAAGTGGATGTCTGCAGGTGTCTCCATGCTGTCTGTCTAGCTGTCAGTGGCTATATGTGGATGTCTGTGTGCTGTCTGTAAGTGTCTGTGGATGTCTGAGGGTGTCTTCATGTTTTACTATTACCCGTTGAATAATCTCTCTATTTTTCTTCAAAAATTTAAGGTAGCACTTCAGAATCGTTTAACAGATATTAATCGTACATAACTTTCCCTACAACAGGACTATCAGTTCTTTTTCACTTAATAAGTCATAATTAAATAGAAGTTTGTTTTATTTCATACTAAAGCAAAAATAACAACAAAAAATTAACAATTTATATTAAGATTTTTTCATTTTTCGCATAGGAAAATCATGATTTTGAGATGATTTCTGCTTTCTTCCTTGTTGCCAATTTTTAGTATCATGAGTAGAATAAAAATCCGAACCAATTTTCTTACGTCTAGATAATACTTGTATGATGACATCTGATGAATCAAATACTTTATGCAATTCTTTCCATATTCGTTTACTTGGCCAGCTCGTAATAGAGGATACAATGGTTCATCTTTGATACCATCTGATTCTTTATTAAATTAATTAAATTAAATTATTAAATTTTTTGATCTTTTTCTTGTTGATATTCATCTTGTTTTTGTTGACAATGTTTCAATAACGATTCTATATCACCAAATGTACTGATTCATCGTCGTTGTGCTCTAGGACCAAATGTTTACTTATAGGATTCAACATCAAGGATGTGAATACGTTTTTGTTTTTCATTTAATAATGTTATAGGTAATTTTGTTTGTTTCATGATAATTTGATATGAATCATTAACAATATTTTTCAACTCGGACTGGTATTTATGTAACGACGATTGTGTGACAACACGACTATTATTGAACCACTAAACAAATAAAATTGTAAGTAAATAAAACTTAATGAGTCACTCGATACGGGAAAAAAAGTTACAGATACTCATTTTTGCATAATCATTCGCGAATAAGATGCATTGAGAGCCTTACCCCTTAAAAAAAGACGAGTTTTTGTTTATCCTTTCGTTCAGGAGCAGCATGTGTGCTATGTAGATGTGCAGAGAAAAGAAAACACATAATACATATACGTTTTTCACTAATTTCTGACAAAGACGATGTGCGAGTTACCTTAATAGTTTAGGTACACTTTTGTACAATAGAGAAAACAAAAATATTAATAAAAATTCTATAATTTATTTAACAACTAAAATCAGTTAAAAACAAGAAAAATAGATAAGACAAACGATAAGAAAAGAATATGTCGTGATACTTTTCATCTAACTACATTTTTTTATTTGCCTTATAACAGGGAAAACATTTTCATTTTAAACTTTGTCAACAAAAATAATCATATTATTATTAGTGGAATGCACACGTTTGTTGCTTGAATAAACTGAGCCAAAAGGAAGTATAAATATGAACATTGCACAAACTCGTTCAAAAAACTTCTTCGGGTATATTTTGATTATCTTCCGTTATGCACACGAAAAAACAAGATTAGTAGAAAAAATAAAATATAGATATTCTTCGTCTGAAGCGTACTATGGTTTAATTACTCTGTGTAAAAAAACAGCGAGCATTTAGAAAACAAAAAAAAAAAATTTGATAAAAAAATAACTTCTTTTAACATCTGACAAAAAAAAATGTCCAGCATTTTTTCTTGTGAATTTCTTTAATAAAAATTTTAAAAAAAATTACATTTATTACGAACAGAAAAAACAAGTATATAAAATCACTTAGGATTAGACGGAATCGATATACCACATGTACTTATCTGAACTAACCCAGTTCAGCTTTCAGCTGTGCCAACATAAAGTACCGTTGCACCATTTAATGGAAGAGTTGATAGAACTCGATTTTCCGGATGAACTGGGCCTCGTAAGTTAAGCAAACTAAATAAGAAATAATGCTTGGAATCTTACTGTAACTCATATAGATTATACACCAACCTTGGAAAAACTGGGCCACATAATGAACCGAAGCAATTAGTACCGGGATTCCCTAAGGAAAATGGATTTGTTCTCGAATGTCCCGATCTATTCCAAGTATCTTTTATCTAAAATGTATAAGAAGATTAGATGATCTCATAATCTTGTCACAAAATAGTTTTTACATCTTCATTTGTTGTTACTCCTCTCATAATCAAATAGGAATGATAACCACATAATCCAAATACACTCCAAACACTAAAAAAACAGATGAGTGCTTCGATCATTGTGGCTGGTGTATCCTTGATAGCATCAATAAATGTGTTTGCTTCCTGAGATCGTAAAACAACATTTGTTACATTAAATGCAAAAATGTACAAACATAAAATGGCTAACGATAATAAAAATAAATAAAAGTAACGATAATTTCGTTTGCCTATACAATTTGCGATCCAAGGGCTATAAATAAAATAAAATAAGAATTTTGTTTTGAAAAATTATAGACATTACTTACCAGTGATGATCAAAGCAAGCTAAATGTTAAGAAAAAAAGAAATTACTATGCATGTTTTGTCAATTAATTGTCACTATTTTACAATGAACTACTATCTTGTCAGAATGGAGAGGATTATCTCTGACACTTTCAACATACTTTTGATCCATCGAATTTAGACCGTGTCCATTATTTTTACTTTAGCATCTAGCCAGTGCTTACAGAGAATAAAAATCTGTTTTATAATATTATGACTGAAATTTAGAATAATGGCGCTTTATTTATCTACTGAATAACAAAAAGTTTTATTAAATAAAAAAATTAATTTTTCAGTTTATGCCTATTCAATCGCATAAGAATTCAATGTATTTCTTATTAATCTTAATTCTTCTTTTTAATTCAATCATAACAGCCACAAAACATGATTCTGTATTAAAAATGTATGATATCGAATCTCAAGTGTCAAAACATATTTTGAACGATGATGCTCCAAACAAACGTGATCATACTAATGATGATTTAACAGCAAAAGAATACGTTCATTCATCCTCTATTCTAATAAATACTGAATCAAATCAACAAATAATATCTGATTGCTCTAATATATATTCAAATAATCCCTATTGTATTGTAAAAAATTCTATTTATGCAACAAATTTGAATGCCACTCATCTATGTTCAAAAAGTGGTAAAAATATTAAAATGACTGTTTTAAACAATAATATTCGTTTTGATTTAATAACAGAAATCATTAATAAGAATAAAAGTAATAATTCACATTATCAAATATGGATGGATGCCACACAATTTAAAAATATTAATAATAAGAAAAAAATAAAAAATAAAACAACAATAATAACGAATGATTTATCAACATTATTAGAATATCATAATTCAACTATAAATGATTTATCAAAACTAGTTGTTCAAATTGATACGACAGTGAATATTACACGTTGTCCACAATGGGATACAATAGTCAAAAATAAAACATGTTATACAATTGTATCATCGACAAAAGATATGTATTGTTTAGCGAAAAATGATTGTAATGAATTACATATGTTTATTTGTGTAAATGAAAAACAAATGAAGAATCAAATGAAAAAACAAGGTATACTATTTTTTTTCTTAATACTATTAATTTGTATAGTATTAAGTGTTGTCATATGTGCAATTATACGATATGAAAAACGAATGAGAATACAACGGCGACGACAAACATTGTTAAGTAAAGCTATATTATCAATGAATGATTTGATACTCATTGATTGAACGAAGAAAAATCCGGATACATTACACTTATGCGAGTGTATGTTCATTCCATAAAGCATCAGACGACAAAATACTTTTCAAAATTATCATAATTCGGGACATTGAAAAGTCTCTCTAACGCTTAGCAATTATACAGACTTTCTAATGCACGTGTCTTATGTCTCGCCAAGGGAAAAAAGCTCATGTGCTGGTCGAATGACTTTCTATATACATACCAACACAATTATCACATACAGAACAATGTGATGTTCTTGGTGGTCGATACATTTTACACGTTTGACAGAATTTTAGTTGAATTGTTTGACCGTTAATTTGCACCTCGACAATTCGACCTGGTAATGCAACATTCTGAGGATTGTTGGAAACGTCTAAAATAAATAAACATATGGATAAATGTATCTAGAAAACATTTTTATCTTTGATACAAACCTAATCTTTCAAGATATATAACTTCTTCTGGTGTAGCTCTTGGTATAATTCCTGGATCAGAGCAAGCAGCACGAAACATAACAGAAATAACAAAAATAAACAACAATCCTCCAATAACAGGAATAATTGGCGATAAACGCAAACTCAAATAACGACAGCTAAAAATAGGTGATAAAATATGGAAAAAACGTGAATGGCATTTGTTTCTTATTCAACTTACTCGAATGCAAAAAATAAGCTACATGTCACAATAATTAGAAGTAGAGCAAACATAAATATACCAATGTCACGACCGATCATACAACGTCCATGGCAAAGAATACGATTTTTGCTTGGAAGCGGAAGCTACGCTCAAAAAATAAGATTATCAAGAACACCTTTGGATAAATAAATTCTTTGCTTATTACCTGATATTTTTTCAACATGTTATCTCGCGAATGTATCGTTCAAGACGTTTTTAACACTATTGCTAAGTTCGGCCTATTGAGCAAACGTCTTGCCAACAAGTCACTTTAAAAAGTTATGAGCTTTGTCTGAAAATCCTATACATATGAAAAAATTTGCTTATTAGGTTTATTCGTCATCGAGAGCGAAAGAAGAATACCCTGCCCTGCGGCTATCGTTACCGATATAGGGTACTCTATCAGGGGTCGTATCACGAAAAAACTTAAGGCAAAGTCTAGACTTAAGTGTATAAAATTAGCATGTAAGTGCACGTAACGAAGACTTAAGTTTTTGTCTGATACAGCCCCTTGCGGCATAGCAGTTTCATTAGCTCGATATCTTCTCTGACAATGGCAAGTTTCTGAAATGGTCATCCATCTTGTTACTAATCATCAACTGCAGCTCTGGCTAGAAGGATAGCCTGGCCCGAGTTCTAAGACTAAGACTAAGACTGTTTTATTCGCGAAAAGTGTGAGTCATCAAAGGTCACCGACTAGAGGTCTGTGGGACAGTCCCAGTCCCGGTCCCGCGGGACTTTTTACGGGATCGAGACACAAAAAAAATCTTTTTTACGGGACCGGGAACGGGACCTAGAGGTCTGCTGGACGGTCCCGTGGAAGTTTTAATAGGACCGCGGTCAGGTTTTTTTGAAAATAGTCTTGTATGAAGTAAAAAAATATTTACGGGACTACGGGACCGGGACCAAAAATGAGTTCTTTCCACGGGATCGGGACCAAAAATGAGTTCTTTCCACGGGATCGGGACCAAAAATGAGTTCTTTCCACGGGATCGGGACCAAAAATGAGTTCTTTCCACGGGATCGGGACCAAAAACGTTTGGTCCCGCAGACCTCTATCGCTGACCTGTAATAACAATGACTCAAGCCAAGCAACAACAAAAGAGTAAAAAAAGAACAGAATAAACAAGACAACTAATGTTAGGACCAGAAGTAGTAAAAAGGAAAAAAAAGAAAATAAATGTGCAAGCTTTGGAGAAGGCGAGAGAACAGAAGATAGAGTACGAACTGGCACCAGTGGGACGAATCTACGGATGGCATCGTTTACGTGCTCAGTCCAAATGTGGACGGCCGTATCAGCATCGGTAGCCGTATAAAGGCCATGAGGTATAAGAGAGAGAACACGCTGTAGTTCAGGCCACTGGGCTTTTTTAAAGTCATAAAGATAACAATTAGAAGAAAAAAGAGGTTGAACAGGTACATCAAAAGTAGCAGATAAACAAAAATGAGAAGAACAACCAACAGGGGGAAAATAAGAGAAAGAAACATTGTTCTAGGAAGAAGGATAAAAGATATAGTCAATACACGTATTTGAAGTAGTAGTGACAGAAAAATCAACAAGAGAACACAGAAAAGAACTAGAGAGACTTTGAACATTGTACATTTCGGAAGACACATGAAAATTAAGATTAAGATCAGCACACAACAGGAGGTTAGAAGAGATAGAGAAATAGTTAGAAACAAAAGTGTGAAGAACATCAAAAACAAAATCAACAGGAACAGATTGCGAACGGTAACAATTATATAACAGAAAATCAACAGAACATTCTTTTGCCCAATTACAATCCCTAATCATGTACTAGCTTGAGAGCCAGCCGGAAAAAGTTTATTGTACATCACAACGTAGTGAGTATGCTATCAGGTGGGTGCACCGAGGCACAAGGCACAAGTAACTTGGCCAAAGTTATAACGTGACTTTGCCGACGCCGAGGTTTGAACACAGTACTTTTCAAGTACGTGATGAACAACATAACCATCCAGCCATGCTATCATCACTGAGAGCGAACCAGTCTTTTTTAGCAACAAGCCTCTATGATGTAGCAGCTTGCTATTGAGTGTGCTATCTGAATTTATCGAGGAAAAAGAATAATTAAATGATTCCTTTTTAAATGAATTTTTTATTGAGAAAAATAGCGAAAACTCTTCTTAGAATCGAGCACCACATGCAACGCAAGATTGTCCAGTCACTCTTCAAGATTATACTGAAGATTTCAGCAATGCTGAAAGCATAATCGTGAAGTTGGGAAGACAATCAAATAGAGAAGATTGTTGTTTTCTTGGTAAACTTCTGGTTTTTCCGTACGCTTTCAACGCCAACCATTCCGGTTGGGTGCTTCCACGCAGGTCCGCCCACTTTATACAGAGCATCTTGCCGCGAAAATTTCACTTTGTCCATCGTGTAGAGCATCAGAAATAATCTAAAGGTCTCGCTTACGTTGTTTTGAAAAAATGTGTGAAAAGTGGTTTTTTAGACAGCTCAAGTTTTTAGTGAGGGTGAAACCGAAGTCGGTAAAAATGAACGAAACATTGCATAATTATACATCAAATTGTAGCTCTTGACGAGTTGATTCTAATGATGGTGAAGGAATTCGGTCTCGATCTAACTTTACATTTGGGTGATACTCAATTTACTTGAAAAATTCCTGAAGTTTGACCTCGATTTTCTCTCAAAAAAATTCCGTTAAAACCTTACTTCATGAAATGAAAATTGAGGTATTATGATTCTATATTCCTGTTCAACATGAAGAATTCAACGTACTTCAACGTTTTCTGAGACTCCTTTGTGTTTCCGTACCGCAGTTCTCGAAGAGGATTTCTGGAAAACTGAGGATGAAAAATGAAAAGTGCCGAGGATAGTTGTATGGGCAAAGTTATAGATCCTACTAAGTAGTTGCTATCCTGAAAAAATCTCAAAAAATTTTGGGAGCGTTTGGGAGAAAATCGAGGTCAAACTTCAGGAATTTTTCAAGTAAATTGAGTATCACCCAAATGTAAAGTTAGATCGAGACCGAATTCCTTCACCATCATTAGAATCAACTCGTCAAGAGCTACAATTTGATGTATAATTATGCAATGTTTCGTTCATTTTCACCGACTTCGGTTTCACCCTCACTAAAAACTTGAGCTGTCTAAAAAACCACTTCTGGATACTTCCATTTAGCTCCGCCCAGTTTATACATGACCCAAGAGCCGGAAAAAATTGAATACTCTTCCCGTGTAGAGCATAAAAAGTTACATAGAAATCCATATTTGTTCACTAAAAAAGTCACAGTCTATATGCCTTTTCAAGGATGTCACTACGTAGCCAATATAAACCCGAAAATCGTAACTCGAAGGAGTACATCTTTGTTTCTACAGGTTCTTCCACTTTTCTCCACGTCCTGCTTAATTCTTCGGGACTACCCATGTCGTCAAAGTCGCGAAGAAATGGCTGATTAAGCACTATTAATTAGTCGACTAACCGTGCACTTACTCGCGGTTTTTAAGCAGAATTTTTTAGTGATTAATCCGATTTTGAAAGAAAATCGTCGATCAAGCGCGATTATTGCTGAATTCGTGCATTTTTTAGAAAAATCGATGATTACTTGAGATTTCACCAATAATCGTGCAGAATCTGCACTGCAGATTCATTAATTTACTAAATCTGAAATCAATTAAGATACCACTTGGTTTCGTGATATATCAGGGCACAATCTTGTTTCTTTTTTTAAATGTTGTTTTTTATATAGTCGGTTTAACCGACTATATAAAAAATCCATATACAATTAAACTTTTTCACCACCACGAAAAGCATTACCTTTTGTGTTCATCAAATAAAGTATATGCTGCTTGTTTCAAAAATATATTTGAAATCATTCGATATTGTTTATCCATTACTTCTCGTTTTCACATTATGTATTAAATCTTATCATAATATTTACTTATTGTTGATCATTTTCAAAATTGTGGAACTTATTCATCAGACAAATTAAGAAAAACCTGGTTAACTTTTCGGATACCTTTATTTTCCGCAGAGACAAAAACGAAGATCGAAAATCGCGTTCTGTTATGCCCTAGAAAAAAGTGTTGGGTACATTTCAAGACCAATCTGAGATTCGTAGCACTTAAAATGGCGGAAAAAATCTTGGAATTACGCAATACTACAAGACAAAAAACAATGTAGAGGAATGAAAGAAAAGGAGAATAGCAGAGTTTTAGGTGCTCTTAGAAAAATGCTTATGACTTTTGATGGGGATATTGCACAGAGCTCAGCAACAGCATTTTGAAGAGAACACTTTTCTCTGTATGAGTAGGCATTTAAACGGCTTTGGGCTGGTCAGCACACACGTGGACGAGTTTTGGAAAGTAAACAATGATGAATTAGAATCTCCAGTGGCCAGTCTTAAAAACTCCATAACTTTTGAAAGAAGAGCTATACAATCAAATCCTTTGTAGGTTAAGACTAGGACATCATATAGTATCTATCGGCAAAAGATCATGGAAATCAGAGGGTATCAGCTAGGGACCTTCCCTCGTAAGTTTTTTTTGTACAACTCGGTCTAACTAATTAAAATTGAAAAAGATTTCTTTTTTCTGGACAACTACAGCTTTTGATATGGAGGACTGTAGCATATCTTTTTACTATCCTGAAATTGATTATTTTTATTGTCCACTGGCTTATACAAATGTTAGCATAATACCGTGAACATTGGAAGATTTACCAAATGTTCGGATATGCATTTATGAGGATTCCACAAGAATTAAATCTAATTAATACTCGCGTAATTTTCATGCGTGTTTGTCGAATTTTCACGGTTGCTTCAGGTTCTGCTTCATTTTCAAATTTGGTTTGAGTTTACTCTTTAAAACTACTTGACACGGTTATTTGAAGTCTACTGCGCTTCAGTTTGTAGACGAAACATTTCCCTTCAATGGGGAATTCCACTTCCCTGGAATGTCGTTCACATTTCTAACATTTGTTTCTAGAAGGTTATGATTATTATTCAGATGGCACAAAAATCGCACTTTTTCTTAGTTTTAAAAACTTTTTATATCTCGTCAAAGGTTCACCAAACGAAGTCGCACAACATTTCATTTTGTAGAGAAATACTTACTATATCAGCTACAATACTAGCACTTTCAATAAAATATATCATGCAAAATAGAATGATGTTTCTAATAATGGCGACTGTAAAATGAAGTCGCCAATGATGGAAATAATAAAAGATGTCTGAATTTTGCACTTTGAACTTTTTCCAATTGTCGTAACAGACAGACTGATTGTAAGATGGACATAGGACTACTCTATGATAATTTGATAGTATCAAAGAATGAAGATCAAAAGGTCTATAAATCAAGTCATTCATACGAATATTGTACTCTTGCAATTTTCATTATCTACGCTATACTAGAAATATTTCAGCTCATACGAACACAACAACAGATATAATGTCTTTCTTGCAGCTCGGCACATTTTGTCTACTGAATTTCGCCGGTAAACCACGATTTCGTGCGAGTCCTCTGCATACTACTATGCTGTTCTACATATCAAACCCACCACACTCAAGATTTTATCTTTCGGAAGTCAGATTTCATTATTTGACGGCGACAAATCCAATAAATGGTTTTCAAAACAGTCGGCGTCATATAAGAGCATGTTTAACTTCAAGAATCGCTAGTTTACGAGAGAAATATAGGGAACTACGTTTGGAAAACACATGTTTTGCACTTCAACAGATGATTATTAGAGGTAAAGTAGGCTTTTACACACCATATTTGGACATATTACTTTAACCAACAATGGATCGATATTTCTTGGAATTTTTGGGAAAACTTTTCATCAAGTAAGATGAAATTAAAAACTCTGAAAACCTGCAGTAGAGTCTGAAGTATCTGCTGTAAACATTTGGACTCGACTGAATAATTTTTCGCAGTGTCATAACGTAACTGAATTGGAAACACCAGTCTTTTAAACATTACACATGCAGATCACTGTCTGTAACAGGCGTATTTGTGATGATGCTCATATCTTTGCGAATAACCGTGAGAAAATCTCGAAAGATCATCATCAAAAATCATCCAAATCAAAATTTTGAGAAAAAAAGAAGATTTACTCTTAAGAGCAACCACTCCTATAAACGCAAAGTGATCATTAACTTCTAAATTATGTTCTCAACGTGCATTCCAGATTCTATGAGTAAGAATCGAGATCTGGAATGCTTCCCTGTAGAAGTTTTTGAAATTAAAAATAATTCATTGTGATAAACTTGACTTCAATGACTGAATAACATACTGCATTATTTTTTTCTCTTATTCAAGGATATTTCCGCTTTTGTTTTTCATATTTACATCGATTTTACTGTATAACTTTACTTATCTCTTATATCTATTTACAACTGAAGATTATCGAGGAAAAAAAGAATGTTTATACTTTATCCTCCCTCTTCGTTCATATATACGTCTTTGTGTATGTATGTGTATATTTTATACATACTTGATAAAAACTCACACTTTTCATCCATCGCTCATCGTCATATTAGTTACTAAAGTCAAGTTTGTATAATCAGTATATATATATTTGACATTTGTTCGTGAACATTCATTAACGACATTGTACAAATATCATCCATAAATCGTTCAATATTATTACAGAAAAAAAAAGATCATTTGTCGTGATTTTATTGCGCAAACAAATTTATACGCAACTTGTTCGTGTTTGTAAAGAAAGAGTAAGAGAAAAAGAACTATTTTTAACTACATAGAATCAGAGTTTTATTGAAAAACGGATCATTGGTGAGTAATGATTTTGATTATCCAACATTATTGTTAAAATTCTGGCTTTGTAATACAATATTACCGCTAAATAATGAATTGATGTAAAAAGATGTGTTAAAGTATACTATTCGATGTGTCTTCTTGCAGTGATTTTCATTATTTGACTAACGGTCAGAAATGAAATTTGGAATTACTTTATACAACACATTTTTCGAAGAATGTTGGTTCGGAGAGGAGGAGAAAGAATAGTTTTTAAAAAATATATTTGTACATAAACTATTGAAATTATTCTATTGACAACTATTATTATGACTATAATTATCTAAACCACATAAATCAGTACTTAATTTGGTACTCCTTTTTTGTGTCAATATTTAAACCCACATTATAATGAAATATTTTCTATTTATTTCAACTTTATTAGTTGTTTTAACGTTACCACCACAACAAGTTTTTTGTTCTATAAATTTAACGTAATTTTTTATTTGAGGAACTTATATTATACTGTGAATAACGCTTTTTTAGGCCTCTACAATTGTAAGATTTTAATCTTTTCGTCAACACTGTCCAACAACAGAATCGTTTGGTGAAGATTGTTTACTTGAAAATTCTGATCTACTTAATTATTGTAATAATCACAGTATGTTAGATACAAGATCAGACGAAATTCTCTCAAATGTTCCGCATGCGGCATTGTTTGTCAAAGTATGTTTTCTATCGGTATAATGTCACATTATTAATTTATCTGTTGTTTTCAGCGTTCTGAAATCGATTTTTCTCATCGAACTCCATGCCCAATTTGTCAAAAATGGTTTATGGTTTTATTTCTGAAATCATCAGCCAAAGAACTTGCATTGACTGTTTACGCTGTTAATATGAAAAATCCTGAACAAGAATTTCGATCATGTCATTCAAATCCTCCCGTAGTTATTCTAAATGATCAACAAACAGTGTTAACCGATAGTAAAGAAATTGAATATGAAATAACAACACGATTTCAACAAGTGAATTTAAGATCAGATAAAGAGGCAGAACATGCAATTGCCGATATTTACATTGTAAAATTGATTTTTATCACATAATATAACAATTTATACTGATCTACTATTTTATCGTTTCTAGAAATTTCATGCATATTTAAAAGCTGATCAGAAAACATTTATGGCAAGAGAACGTTCGTTAACAGTTGAACTAAAAAAATTAGATTTATTTCTACAACGAAGAGATACCAAATTCTTATGTGGTGATCAAATGACGTATGCTGATTGCGATATCTTACCAAAACTTCAACACATACGAATTGCTGGACAAGTAAGTCTAAGATTGATAAGTATTTTGCTATTATGAAGAGAAAACTTCACTAATAATAATTGTTTATATCTTCAAAGATCTATCGTAACTATTCGATTCCAACAGATTTCAAATATTTATGGCAATATTTAAAAAATGCTTATGAGACTAAAGCATTTCGTGAATCGTGTCCCTATGATCAAGATATTATTTTACATTATGAAACAAAAACGGATATGGGTACAAAACTCTATCCAAAAAATCGTCATCCATATTTGCAACCACCAACATTAACATTTACAATCATAAATGAGAATAGAGTAATAAGTAATTTGAAGGATGATAAACAAGAAAGATAAACTTTATCGTTGTTGTATAAATGTATATTTATTTTTTTTAAATAGAAGAATCAAATAAGTCTGTAAGTAATTATTGTTTAGAATTGGAATGATGCAATCGAAACTTGAACATGATTCAAATGTTGATCTATGATAAAGTTGCAAATATATCATGTAACTTATTGTTGAATTTTTTATCTTAGTACAATTTTTAAATTAGCAATAATTGAGCAAATTTTTGACTAAATCTTACTTGCATACGCCAGTGTTAGTAAGATGGAATTGTTAACAATATAAAAAATTTCAAATTTGATCGATGATTTTGCAAACATGTATCACGCTATAATTTTTATATTGAAAGATTATAGAGCTTGTCTCAAAACTGATATTTCGATTTATTTTTGCTTTTTATTATTCTTTAATTGGTTATAAATAATCAATCATTCACAAAACTTTGGAGGAAATGAACAAGATTCTGTTAATGAATTATCTCCAATTTTACTTCGCATACACTACGGTTACACTACGCAAATAATCACGATTATCTTTAATCATGATTAAAAGATAATCGCGATTAAACATTTTCTAGTGTAACCGCAATTTTTTTGGATCATGATTAACGATATTTAATCACGATGAACAGAATTGTGTGTAACCGCACCAATGACGATTAAAAAGATAATCGTGATTTAACTCATACCTATTACTATAAATACTTACTGTGCAGGAGAGAACTCATTTTTGTGTTGGTAAGGTTAAAGTCAATACAGTAACACTTTTTAATTTGATCAATAGATTTGTTGACACCGGCTGCTAATAAACTCTTCTTGTACTTTTTTCCCAGCGCCACGATTCCGAAGACTAGCCATTTCATTCGATATCTTTTCATCTTTTAAAAAATTTAGCAGCAAGTTTGTTTCTTCCTCAGACCACCACGATCTTTTCACCTTCGTTTTATTATCGTAACTCTGCGTAGTCAATTTTAATAGAAAAATTATTATTATAAAATTATTACTTAATTATTACTTAATTATTTATTAATCTGTAAAAGAGTATAGTAGTGCCAGAAAAATTCTTCAGTAGGCAAAACAACGTTCAGCTGATTAGTTATTGCAGTTGAGCAGTCATATGCAAGCGCCGCTATCATGATCCTTTTTTTGATAGAGGCGGTTGAAATTACTCACGATTAAATTTAATCGCGATTAAAGATAATCATCTTCCGAACATGATTATCTTTACTCATGATTTTCCAAATAATCGTGAGTACAAAGTAGCGGTTACGCAAAACTACAAGTTATCAATCGTTTTGCAATAACTCATTTTCACAATTGGGTAAAACATAAGTCAGTCAGATAGAGCGACATTCTCTCGGACTCCAATATCTCAGTTGATCCTTTAGCTCCACAACAATTGAGTATTCTAGAAAAAAGCATTAGAAAACAAAACGTAAAACAAGACTATGTTACCAATTATTACCATTTCTCAGAGTCAAACCTTCATTCTATCTTTACTACTTCTACACGTGCAACTTCTCACTTCCAGCAAAACTGCATCTAATTATATACAAAACAATTCGCAAATTTACATTTCTAACCTAACTGTAGACATTCACAAAAGAAACAAAAAACAGTATGCTATTCAAACGACATAAAAAAGCAGCACCTCTAAATTGCATACGATTTTGAAGACAAATAAGTACATTGGAAAAAAATCCAGTCAGAAACACAAATCAAACTAGTTCCTCATGACCAAACTTTTCCTAGCTGTTTACAACGTTTCTCTTATATTTGTATGTGATTCGATTTTGGCGAATGGGAAAAAAACCGAAAATATAAATGGCACTGTTAGCTAAACTTCTACTATCAATTCATTACTTGGATGATAAATAAAATGAGTAAACAGAATATTTTAATATGAATCAGGATTTGTCTACTCTTGACGATTTCTGATTTAGACTGGCATGGTATTCATACGTCAACAGATTCTACGCACGCAATTCCCTTGCATGATCTTTTACATGATCAAACTTGATATCAGTATTTCTTTTGCAAACATTTTACAGCACTTTGTGTTTATGCTATTATTTGTAAGAAGAACAGGTGAAATAAGCACATGGCTAACGAGTAAATTGAGACATGAATCCGCATTCAAAAAATTTAACGTTAGAATCGAATATACTACCCAAGTAAACTCCACATTAGGCAATTTTGACTAGGCAAGTGGACACGTGTCATAAAAGTGATACGAAAGCCTGTAAACATTATTTTCATAGGTTTTCCTATGTGTTCTTCCCAATGGTGTGATCTACAAGTTCAAAGATGTTTTATCAGGGTTTTCCAGAGATTCGGTCTTTGGAAAACCCGGCTAGAAGTGTTTTTGAACTTTGTGAACCACATCATTGAAAAGAGTACGTAGGAAAACCTTTCATAGGCTTTCAAACTGCTTCTAAATCAAAAATCCTATTACATAGGCAAAATTGCTACGAGAATGCTACAAATCTGTCATTTCATTAAATCAAACGATTTTTGCGCATAAAAACATATAACTGGCATATCATTCGATGCAGTTCGATGCGCTAATTCTACATATATATCATTCATATCACCGGAAAAAAAATAAAGTTGGTTTTGAGTTGTTGAGAAGTGTTTTGTCGTATTCAGCACATTCAATAACCCAGAAGATTTTCTATTTTTGGCGAGGGGTACTTCCAAAAGTTTAAGAAAATTTTTCAAACTAATATCATTTTCCCATGGAAATGTTTTTTGTCATTTTGTTTCAAAATTTTTCCTAAACTTTTGGAAGTACCCCTCGCCAAAAATAGAAAATCTTTTGAGTTATCGAGTGTGCTGGATACGAAAAAGCACTTTTAGAAACTCCAAACCAACTTTATTTTTTTTGTTCCCGTAATATAAGTTTTTAATGAAATTGCTTTTGTGGTGAGAAAAATGGAAGCAGAATACCTGGCGAGCTCTTCGCTTTCACCCGTCAAGCACACACTCTTGCCTAGTCAGTTCGATGCGTCGAAGTCTCCTCTTTCAGAATCTAGATCACTTCGACCAAAAAAGAGTTTCTGAGAGGCTTCTTGTCTGCCAACTCAGTCTTCAGCCAATTTTTAGCAATTCTTCCGTAGTCACCGTGAATGAAATATCGTCGTTTTAGTAATAAAGGTATTACAATAAAACCTCTATTAGTGAACACCTCTGTAAAGTGAACACCTCCTCAGTGAACATGCTCTCAGGTCCGACGGAGTGATTTTTGCTGGAAATGCACCTCTGTATTTTGAACATGAATACTTTTTTCTCAGTTTCTCCTGCTATTTCAACCTCTAATGTGAACACACATGCAATGTTTCTCTCTCTACTGTTTATCATCTGTTCCTTTTGTACTAATACATATGCTTTATGTCCTAAAACTGACCACTGTGCGTATGAAAAAAAGTTAATGCATTAGAATCAAAATTAACTGATGGTCACATCACATTGGTTCAAAAACAAAAGAGAAACAACGTTAGAGGATTTTTTTGAAAAAAATTAAATTTTGTGTTGTAATTGAAATATTTTTCAATTCAAATATATTTCAATGAAAATAGATAAACAATATAAGCTCCTACTTAATTCAGGGCTAGTGTAGAAGCAGACATTCTAAAACTTTTTCTTCATTTCTCAGCAAAACATGCATCATCTCTCTAAAGTGAACACCTCCCTATAGTGAACGTTTTTGAAAAGTCCCGACGGTGTTCACAATAGAGAGGTTTTACTGATAAACTAAAATATAATTCAGTCATTTATATACGAATTGAGACAACTTTTTGCTTCATCATAAAGATGTATAGCATTACTATATTACGTCTAGAATGACCTTCAAACTTGTTTAACGTTTTTCTCGAAACAAGACTTTGGCGCTGCAAAACCGTACCCAGATCATTGGTTACGATGGCCATAAACGACGAATTACGACCGTGTACTGTAACGTAACATGCCGTAACTTGACGTAATTTGGCCGTAATCCTATGCTCTGTAACACTGCAGCCGTAAACAACTTTTTACGAGACCGTTTACGACCGTAATCGCTCGTTTGCGGAGGCAATATCACAGAGTATAGGATTACAGCGTCGTAAAACGATTTTACGGCCATTTACTGGCTGTGTTGAATCACCTGGGTATTTCCACGTAGATGTTTCATCGCATTAGTTTCATTTTTTTTTTATTTTAAAGCTGAGACCCAAATCTAAAAATTGTTGGGATCAGACATTTTTACTTTTTGCTTCCAGAGCCCAGAAATGTGAACACTCTCTCAAGTATAAGGAGTTTTCCGGAGTTTTGACTTTGGATATGTATGAAAAATGAAAGGAAACGAACATCAAAATTTAGATTTAAGTCTCAGCTTCAAAATAAAAGAAAAATGAAGCTGATGCAATGAAATGTCGAAGAGGAGAATACGATTTTGTTGAGAGCCCCATTTCGTTCCTCAATCCACCTATAACCCGGCAACGCTCTAAGCTTTCGAGTTTAGGCTTTATCATAGACTTTTTAGATGCTAACTAGTGACTTCTGCAAGTTTCAATAAAATCAGTGTTAAAACAACGAATATTGGCCTGAGAGAGGGGCTATACTATCATTTGCAGCAGTGAAGTGGAACGTCTATGACAAGATGAGGACAGCTCTTCAGTCGATTTTCGGGAATTTTCTAGTTTATAAATATCTTTTGTAACATCGATAATAATCGTTAAACGCTCGAAACTGATTCCAGACAAAGGTAATCAGGAAATCTTCAATAGTATTGTTTCTTCTGTATAATAACAATGTTAAAATTAGGACAAAGTCGCAATTTTTGACTATTCAGTCACATTAAAAACAGTTTTTAATTGTAAAAAAAATTAAATGTAATTTCGTAATTAAACACATTAAAGTCTTACTCGAAATATACCACGTTTCAATTTTTTCTGCTTGATTGAAAGAAAGAATAAATAAATAAAAAGAATTGCATAGTAGATTCACGCTAGTTTTTTTTGTCATATAAAA